CCCTTCCTCATGTCCTCCCCTTCCTCGCCGTCCATGTTTCCTCCTCCTCCTGCCCTTCCTCTTCTCCCTCCGTCCATCTCTTCTCCTCCCCCCATCTCGACTCCTCCTAGTCGTCCTCGCTATCCTCGTCGTCCTCCACGTCCACATCCTCCTCCTCCTCTCCATATCCCCCTCTCCTCGCCATATCCCCATCTTCCTGTCATACACCCCGCCATTCCCCCTCCCAGAAAAAGATAAAAAATAATAATAAAATAAAAAACCTGCACGATTCAGCACAGGCACCCCCCGCACGAAACTTCGCATGGAACTACGCACGAATGTGCGGCTCGTGCGGTTGCAAGTATGGGTTGAGGTCTTGGCCCCCTTTGCTAGGTGTTTGTTTGAGGGCTTTGTTGTCCCCCTCACTAGGTATTTGTTCCTTAAGTACTTCGTTTTTTTTTTGTTTTTTTTTTGTTTTTTTTTTGTTTTTTTTTTGTTTTTTTTGTTTTTTTTTTTTTTTTTTTTTTTTTTTTGTTACGTACGTACTCACGAGACTCCCATCCTCCCACCTCTCTCGATATTAAGTACTTCGTTTTTTCCCCAACAAAAGGTATTTGTTGAATTCGTTCATTAAAGGCTTAATTTTTCTCCCAGCAAAAGGCAATCCCTTGCATTATGTACAATTTGAGTGGTTCATTCATTCAATGACATATGGTTGAGGGCTTGGCCCCCCTCACTAAGTATTTTTTCATTAAGTACTTTGTTTTTTTCCCAGCAAAAGGTATTTGTTGATCAAGTACTTGTTTTTTCCCCCAACAAAAGGTAATCCCTTGCATACTGTACACTTGAGTGACTCACTGACTCCTTCATTCAAGCACATCAAGTACTTAGTTTTTTTAGTGTACAGTTTTTTTCCCAGCAAAAGTCAATCCCTTGGCTAAAAAAATTCCCAGCAAAAGGTACTCCCTTGCCTAATATACAATTGCTGATTCCGTTTGAGGAAACCTTGGGTTTGAAGTCGTTTGATGTATTTAGCGGTATCCACAAAGACAGTCAAATTCTTACACGTGAAAGCACCTTCATGGGATTGAAGAGAGTCATGGTCCTAACGGGCGCTGGAGGACCGAACCCACGTATGTGGCAAAATATGGGGATGACTTGTGGCTAGGGGTATATGATGGCACAGGAACATGCTTATTCTTTAGCTGTAGAAAAAAAAAACTTGTAATTGTGAAGTACCATTACGACTCCATATATACGAGTGTTATTTTAATATTTTGTGAGATTACCCCGATCTTAAATCATTGCCAATGGGAAATCGAATGATGAGTAAGGTCGCAACGTCTGAGTATGTCAACGCTAATTTTTCTCACGAGGCGCCTACCCTGCCAAGCACCATAGCTGTGTGAGAGCTATGGCGATAGTGCCCTGGCGTAGCCTAACCCTTGAGTGGGTTAGGGAGTGCCTTTGCACTCTTACGTCAAGGCATCTTGGCAGCCTTGTATCCGACCTTCATACCAACTTACATACCTAACAGGATCTCAACATCAGAGGAGCTGTCCTCCCCTGGGAGTCGAGCAAAAAAGTCAACAACAACACTGGGGCTCCGAGCGCTAATGCTCTGCGCGATCGCAGTCTGCAAGGCCCGACTGCCTTTCGGGTGACTGGCCATGTCATCGTGCCAGGTGGCGTTTGGCTAGGCTGCAGATCTCACCGCAAGTCGAGTGTGACGCTGACGTGGCAGATTCTTCATCTGAATCTATTGGCGGGAGAGCAGGGGAATGTTTGGCGTGTAGAAGCGGAGCGACGGTCGGTACTCAACAAACGCGACGCAGCAGGAGAAATGGCAGGTATGACGGCATCGAATGAACATCAGCAACAGCGCGCGGCGGTATGGTTGTCAGAGCTGGAGGATGGGAGGCGTCGGCTGCAAGAGATTGTGTGGGTGATGTCATCCCCAGCAAATCACCCATCTGCGGTCCGAGGGGGCGGGGCTCAGATGGCTGATTGGTTGGAGGATATGTCCCAGCAGATGCTGGACATCATCTGGATGATGGAGGAGGGGCCGGATCCTTGGCTTGATGACATCATCGATTGGGAGCAGGAGCGGGATATCACACGTAGATGCTACGATCTCTTCAGCGAAGGGCGAGCAATCTCTGACAGCTATTACTGCGAGGACTGCGATGACGACGGCAACAGCAGCGCGGACAACAACAACAACAACAACCACGACATCGTCAACAGTGACAATGACATCAACAACAACAACAACAACAACAACAACAACAACAACAACAACAACAACAACAATAGCGACAGCAACAACGACATCAACGTCATGAACAACAACAACAACACCGACATCGTTGACGGCGACGTCAACAGCAACAACAACGAAGCCAATACGACGGCGGAAATTCCAAGAACGATGGGGACACTGGTCCAGAAAGCTGCGTTTTCGACTGCGGCAACAACAACAATTGAGACACCAACAACAGGAATAACAACAACGACAATGACAATGGCGCCTGCATCGCTGGTGGTGATAACGACAGCAGTGACATCAGCTGCAACAACAGCAAAAACATCTCAGGGGGAGAGGACCGGGGATCTGAAGAAGCCGGGGAGGAAGGGATTAGTGGTGAAAAAACGTCATATCGTCTCCCCCCCCCTGGTCTTTTGATGTCGAATCCCTCCCTGATGATTGGCCGCTTGTGGGAATAGGATAGGAGATGCCCCCTCTGTTCATTGAAACCATCGGCCCCTCGATCTCAATCAACATGGAATGACAATCTGTTCCTTTGGTGGCAGGTAGGCTGTTTAGGGTTTTCATGTGTCTCATCTGTTCTCCGGAGTGTTTTGATGACTGATTCTGAGGGAGGTTGATGAGAATGGTTTTGTTAGGGTTAGGGTTCATTTCGGGAGCAGGAGGTCAATCCTCCCTGGTCATTGGGAAGTAATCAATGCCCCTGGTATCGACAGTAACATGGTGATACATCACATCGGATCAGATTTCTACGTCACACACATCACATCACTGCAACGATTTCGTCTTCAGGACTGATTGATATGTTGATAGGATAGGGCTTTATGCCTCAGTTTGAATTGCCATACAGTACATACATCACACATACATCAGACGTAGGCAGTATTGGATGCTGAGTGGGAGATAATCACTCATCGCTACACAGGGATGCTGGACCCGTTTCCAGCTGACACTCATCACATCATATCATTCATTGTATTGAGACGCTGGACCCATTTTCCAGTAGGTGCAGCTCCCCACCAATAGATGGAACCTTCGACGCAGGGGCCTACTTACCGGGGATGCTCTTATCACCTCGTTAAGTAGGTTTCCCGTACACGAAGTTTTGTCCCAAAAAAAAAAAAAAAAAAAAAAGGGAGCTGTCCTCCCCTCAAGCATTTAGCTGGAAGGGGGGCTCCTTTCTCACCATCTAATGGCCGCATGGCGCGGCCCTGCGACCAAGGGAGCTCTGCGTCGTCCTAGTGATGCCACCGAGAGTAGTGGGAGTAACTTTTGGTGGCAGTGGGAGCGCTGGCGATGACACCACGGCATCTGAAGGTCTCTGGTTTCGTCGTTTAAAAGGGAAGACGGCATGGCCAACATCAAGATGAGCTACGGGCAATACCAAGAACAGCCATCATGGGCTGACGACATGATCTATAGAAGAAGCTGCTCGCTAATTAGTATTATGATAGGATAGATGGGCTTAATTTCGATTCTGACTCTTTTATGGTCGTATTTTAGGGTATGATTGTTCCCTGGTATAAGTCATTGTTGTCTAAATCCTCTAGCAGTAAAACTCACAAGTCTGTTGTCATGATTTCCAGCCAAATGGCGTCACCCTCAAGACTGTACTGTTACGAACAGATGTATTCACGGGACGCTGGGCCCGGTTCCCAGCAGGTGATGCTCCCCACCAATAGACGGAGCGGCCCACCAGGCAAAGCCTCAATCCCGGTGGTTCTCTTACCACCACGAGGATAGAGGCCTTGTACAAGGGCCTGTTTCTCAAAAAAAAAAAAAAAAAAAAAAAATTTAGCTCTTCGTCTCTGTACACTGAACCTGGTTGTTTCTGTGGCCATATTCAAGTACAAAGTCTAGAGTATACTCGTTGTTTTCTAGTTGTTCTCTAGGCTAGTCTGTCGTATTTTAGTGCACTGCATTTCTTTGATTGCTTTGTTGTCTCCTGAATTCCTTGAGAAGTAAAATTCTTACTGGCTGGATTGCTCTTCGTGTTTCGTGTTTAGAAACACGTAACACAACACAGTTCAGATGAGCTACGGGCAATACCAAGAACAGCCATTATGGCCTGAAGACATGATCTATACAAGAAGCTGCTCGCTAATTAGTATTATGATAGGATAGATGGGCCTAATTACGATTAGGACTCAGTTTTTTTGTCGTAATTTAGGGTATGATTGTTCCCTGTTATAAGTCGTCGTTGTCTAAATCCTCTAGCAGTAAACCTCACCATTCTGTTGTCACGATTTCAGCTCTTCTGCTCTCTACACTCAACCTGGTTGTCTTTGTGGCCATATTCAGTTACAAAGTCTTGTGCATACTCTTAGTTTTCTAGTTGTTTTCTGGGCTAGTCTGTTGTATTTTAGTGCACTGTATTTCTTTGATTGCTTTGTTGTCTCCTGAATTCCTTGAGAAGTAAAACTCTTGCTGTCTCTGTTCTGGCGCGTGGATTGCTTTTAGTGTTTCGTTTTTAGAAGCACATATTGCTGCAGCAGCTTAGGATTGAGAGAGGGAAGCAATTGCAGAATGGTTCAGGGTGAAACTAACGGAACCACTCACAGCGGTGCCACCTGGAGCAGTGAGAGTGTGACAGGGGCAGTGGGAGCGCTGCCGGTTGGGGGGTAAGAGAGAGCCGGTGAAGAGCAAACTTGATCTGTATCCATTGGGTGCGTGGTGGGAAACCCGTCTTGGCAGCTCAGGCTCTTTACAGTATTTTGGACAGCGAGGATGAGAAGGTAGCGCTGATAGGGACAAAGGCTAACTGCGGGAGAGGGGCTAATCTGATAAGTGTGTAGTGGCTTTGAGAATCGTCGTAGCAGCTTATGACAGAGAAGGAAGCAATTGCAATCAGGGTGAAATTCATGAACTACTAGCAGCAGTGCCACTTCGAGCAGTGAGAGTGTGACAAGTGGCAGTGGGAATGCTACTGGTCGGGCGGTAAGAGAGAGCCGGTGAAGAGCAAACTTGAGTTGTATCCATTGGGTGTGTGGTGGGAAACCCGTCTTGGCAGCTCAGGCTCTTTACAGAATTTTGGACAGTGAGGATGAGAAGGTAGCCCTGTTTGAGGTGAGGGGACCACTCTGCTTATGGAGTATTTAGTAGTAGACTTGGTTGCTCGTAGGTAGCGCATCCCTATCTTGGAATTTTTCTCCGTTTTCTTAGTTCAGTCCCCTCCTTTTTGCCTTTTGAAAGGTGGCTGCCTGGGTATAAGGGACGCTGGACCCGGTTTCCAGCATTGTCACTCCGGGTTGAATTGTGAGGTCCCCGGCCTCAATTCTGATTTTCGCAATATAATAGTCATCTTTCACATTAAAAAAAATAAAATTAAAAATTAAAAATTAAAAACAATCATTGCCAATCAGGGTAACCGACGTTCGGGATGGGCCGAACGCCCGAACCCGAACGCCCGAACGTATGGGACCCCTTGGGGATGCGTTCGGCCGAATGCGGACCCAAAAAAAAAAAAA